CCAGCCTCAGCCACTCGCCTGTGCGCCCTGGACCCCACCTGGCCAGCCCCTCGTGCCTCAGGCCTTCTCCTGGCTGCCCTCCGGTGTCCCTGGGGACCTCACCTGGCTGCTCACCTGCGCCCCCAGGGACCCTACCTGACCACACACCTGTGTCCTTGGAACCCCACCTGGCCACACACCTGTGCTTTCTGGCTGCTCACCTGTCTCCCCCACCTGGTCACCCACCTGTGTCCCGTGGTTCACTGGTGCTCCTGGGCCCCTATATAGCTGAACCCTGTGCCCTGGACCCCACCTGCTCTTTCCCTTGTGCCCCAGGTCGCTCTCTCGTGCTTGGTGGGCCACTCTGTGGGTCCCCTGTCCCCAGGGGATGCCGACCGCACTGGACGTTTGGTCCTGGCCGTCTCCTGTTTTTCTCATGGCGTCTTGTGAGTGTGGGGACATGGACTACGGTCACTCGGAGAGCACGTGACTGGCCGGTACTCGCTTGGGGAGTCTGGAGCGTGAGGTGCCCACCCCGGCGACAGACTGACGTCCAGAGTTGTGTCCGACCCCTCTGGCTGGGCGCCAAGGCACCCGCCGCCGGCCAGGGCGCAGCAGGGTGGCAGGCAGCCCGGCTCCCAGGCGGGAGGAAGTCAGTCACCCTTGGTCTGGTGCATTGGCAGTTGTTTATAGCAGAGCTGCTGAAAGAGTTGTGCCCGGTTTTTCAAAAAAAGTGTTTGAGGCCCAGTCCATCAGGGAAGCCAGAGGTGGCCAGGAGGGTCCTCCTGTGAGGGCACAGGGCTATTAGAATGTATGTCCTTGAGTGTTAGCTGTGCACACTTCCACTGCGCTACCTGACACTCTGGATTCCTGCCTGTTCAGGACCTTGTTTAATAGCATCTGGTTTTGGTTTGTTGTAAGTCATTTAAAACTAACAATATTTATTTGCCAGCTTTCTGGCACCAAAACACCCTTGGTAGATATGAACGTTCTAGTGAAATTTAATCTCTTTATCATTAAATCTCAGCTTGTAATGTTGAGAAACATTTGACTCTGCGTTTTGGGGTCCTGATTTGCTTGTGGTGGGAGGCTGCTCTTCCTCTGTTCATTTTTCTCTGAGCACCCTTGAGATGGTTAGAGCCACTCACAATCCTCAGTCCCAATGCTGATATAACCTGTTAGGTTCAGGTTACCAGTCTGAGCACTGATGTTAGCTTATACCTGACTCACAACTCATCTTCTGTGGTGAGTTTATGAGTTAGCTTCTAGTAAGCAAATTTACTATGTAGTGAAGTGTTCATTCATAGACTTCTAGCACAACTTTTGTAGTAATTTAATTTAAGGATTATGTTTTTCGGGAATAATGAGTTCTCTTTTTTGTGGTAGGAGAAGAATATTTGGATGTAAAATATTGTCTTGGTACATAATCATTTTGTTTTGGTTTTGGTTTTAATCTATTTTTAATTGTTTTTTTGAGAGATTTCTCAAGTTTAGTTGGGGGAAAAATCTTTTTTTTTTCAGTTGAGTATTAGAGTATTCAACTTATTCTTTGTCTTTTAGATTCAGTTGACATTTAAAAAAAAAATCCCAAGCCAGAAATGTAATTAATTAATTTAATGAAATTCTACTTTTAAGTATTAATTTGAAACATTCTAATTTTCCTAGAGATATGAGTGCTTATTAAAATAAAATTGGCTTGTCATTTGGAAATCTTTCTTCCGTCATTCTGGAGGTGAAAAGTTGCTGTGTTTACAGAGCAAAAATTGAAGGAGTTTTTAAAAAAGATTGTATATTTCATACTAGTGTTTCCTCACCTCTTAAATCTGAACCTTTCTGTTTTTAGAAGAGATTCTTCAAAATCGCATTTGAAAGCCTTATATAGTGAATTGTTTTTAACAAATGTCCATGTTGCTGGGCCCAGTGGCCACAACTGTAACCCCAGTGGCTTGGAGGCTGAGACAGGAGGGTCAGGAGTTCAAAATCTACCTCAGCAATTTAGCAAGGCCTTCAGCAACTTAGTTAAACTTAACTTTTTAATAAAAAGTTAAAAGGGCTGGGGATGTGGCTCAGTGGTAAAGTGCTCCTGGGTTCAGTCGCCAATACACCCCCACCCAAAAACAAGTCCATGTTATTTTTTCTGAGCACTGTCATTGTGTATGGCTAGCTCACACTTCCTATTCTGTTTTGTAGAGAACCTTTGCATGCTTTTCTGTTTGTTCTTGTCTTAGAAGTTAAGCTTTACATAACTATTTTTTTGCGGTGTATGTAACTTAATAATTCTCTAAACCAGTATTTTTAAGGATAGTGGTTTCAGTCTGCCTTATCAGAGTGTATATGAATTTTTTTTTTTTACCATCTAATGATTATTTTTACTCCATTTGGCCATTACAAATTGAATGTCTTAGCTTTCTACAAGAACATAAATGACACATTAGTTCTTACTAGATATTCAGTAGATGCTGAACAAATCCACTGTAGAGGTTCACTTGTACAAACAAAATTTAAGCCTTGCATTTATTTTGTTGGGTAATTTTTTTATGAATGTGAATGAGCATGAGTTTTTTGCTTTTTCTTGCCTTTTTTGGTACAGTGATCAGTGTCTTATCAAATTTTATAACTGCTTTAATTATCTGTGCTTGGTGAGCTTTGATAACCATGATAATTCTGAGGTTTCTATGTTTAGGAAGATAATTAACATGGTTCTTTGGATTACATTTATTTTTTAAGAAGATTAAGATATATTTTAAAATCATTGTGGCTAAACTTGCTTTTCCTTAACATTCACATTGTGTGTAGAAAGAGAGCTTCCAAAAATGGGAATCTCATTCTGTTGGTGTTTGTGAAATGAGGGTTGATGGTGCGGACATTTCATCACCAGGGGATTGGTGTTTAGCTAAATTAACGTTGTGAGTACTGTGGAAAATTAGAGTTCATTGAAGCTCTTTAGTCCTCTCCTGTCCTTCCTTTGCTTCTTTAGGGGGTCCCCAGTGCTTTCCAAGGCAGAGTGCCTCCTGCTTTCCTTGGGATAGGGTTCTCTGGTCACCCTTAGGTCCTCCTGTGGGTTTAACTCACCACAGTTGTCTGGATAGCCAGAGACGAGTCTTCATCCCTCATTACCTGAAGGCAAACACTTCAGAGTTTTGTTCTTGAAAAGTTATTCTGTCTGTTGCATGAAAGAAGCTCAATAACAATTTGTGGAAGAGTACTGAATATGACTTCCTTTGTGTGTACTTGTATTCCTGACAAAACATGGGAACTTAACACTTTTTAAAAATTTAGTGAAAATTGCCTTTTGTCTATAAAGATTCATGTTTACTTATTCTTCATCTTCTGTAAAGGTTACACTTATATGCAAAACCTATGCTAGGTAATTGACCATTTAGCTTCATGAGATATTTTTTATATTCATTTGTTTATTGTTTATTGAGTTCATTGTCTTTTTTTCTGCCCTCATAGAAGATGTGTGTGTTTCATTTAATACCTTGATTCATCTTG